TAAATAAAATAATGCATGTTGAACACTAATAATTGTTATAATTATTATAATTATAATGATTAGGGCATGCATGAATAGTGGGGGGGGGGGGTTCCAAAAGCCTATACCAACTTCTCCCACATAAGATCAATAATAGACAATTATCTACTCGGTTAAATTTTTTTTTTTGGATTTTAGTTAAAATTATTTTTATATTTATTTTAAAATGATAATTTATAATATTTAATTTAATAATATTTAAAATTTATATTAAATTAGGTTAAAAACAAAAAGAAAAAATCCCCCCCACGTGAGTGTCTACCATTAAAGTGGATATGCAGAGACGGGACACACGCCAAACAGCAGCTCCATTTGCTGGTTGTTCACGAACCATGGTTGGCCAATGTACATACGCATATAATGTGGCTTTTATTTTTTTTATTATTTAATTTTTTGAGTACTGAGATATTTTTAAATTAATTTTTCCAATAATTTTAAAATTATATTAAATATAAATTGTTAGTTCTCTATAACTGAAACTAAAGCCAAAACTAAAATAATGGTTTAAGATAATATAATTCCATATTCGATTATTATACTAACATTAACATGTATTATGATATATTAAAAATAATTATAAAACTAAACTATTTGAAATGGTCAAATAAGATATTAGTTAAAAATAAATGGTCCCGGTTGGAAATGCGCCGTGCATGTTGCTGTTTAATTTGTATAGTAGAATCCAAAAATGCATCAAATTTCAATGGTTATTGAAAACGATAGATTATATTTTCCATTTGATTTCTCAATTTAATATTCAACTCAGATTCTACCTGTTCTATATATTTTTATTTGTAATTGTTTGACCCCAACTTTCTTTTATGTGCATTAATAATTGTTACAAACTTTTAAATTTCAAAAAAATTGACTTGACATTATGTTTGTAGCGCCCGGACCGAGAAGAAAAAAAAAAGCCACGTCGGCAGCCACGTCAGCAGGCCCGGTCAGCAGTCCCGGCCAACCGGGACCTGCCACGTGGCAAAACCACGTCGTTCCAAAAAGGGCCACGTTGGCGATCCGCGTGGGCGCGATCGGACGGCCCAGATCAAACGTGCGATTGGACGGCCCAGATTTAAACGTACGGACGGCCCAGATTCAATCAAAAACGAACGGCCCAGATTAAAACAAAATAGACGGCTGAGATCAAAAGGCAAGGGGTTATAAATAGAACCCCCACACCAGACCACAAACCCTAGCCGCCTGCCGCTCGCCGGAGAGCCGCCGCACCCGAGAGCGCCGCCGCTGGTAAGCTCCGTTTTTCCGTAATTTTTTGGCCCCCCGAGGGCCCTAGGGTTGTTTTCTCGCAGGGACCGATGCGAGTGTGGCCGAATTCGGCCGGAAACGGCCGAAAACAGCCAACCCGAGGCGAATCGCCGCCGCCAGCGGCGACGCCGCACCCGAGAGCGCCGCCGCCGGTAAGCTCCGTTTTTCCGTGATTTTTTTGGCCCCCCGAGGGCCCTAGGGTTGTTTTCTCGCAGGGACCGATTCGAGTGTGGCCGAATTCGGCCGAAAACAGCCAACCCGAGGCGAATCGCCGCCGCCAGCGGCGACGCCGTCGCCGGAGCACGGCGGAGCCGCCGTGCCGGAGTTGCGATTAGGGCCGAAAGGGGCCCTGGGCCTAATTTAGGATTTTTTTTGGAACACGTGCAGGTACCAGTAGTGCGTTTCAGTTCCCCGAGGAAAATTCAGGAAAAATTAGGGACAGCCTGCAAGCGCACTGTGAACCCGTGTTCGGACCCCGAAACGAGTAAGGACCCTTCACCTTATTTTCTATCACGGTTTTAAAGTTCAATAAATGATAAAACGGTATTTCATGAATCAACGAATGTGTGAAATTGCTTAAGGTCGCTAATGGAGCCCGAGTATAGTGTGTTTGTCGGTTAACTGTTATTTGGTCTGTTTTACAGTTTTAAATGCAGCATGAGGTTCGATGTTTTCATTTTATAGTTTCATGTGCATATTTTACTGTTTTATTGATTATGGATTGAATGACCGGGATATTGATGCTGTATGTTGTCTGTTTGACATAAATTATCGTTTTGCTTGTTTGTATGTGATTGATAATGCTGACTGAGGGAAAAGGAGAATGAAAGATTATGTAAATGGAAATTGTATAATGTGTTCAGCCTGACTAGATATCCTGAGAGATGGTGGACGGACCGGGTCCGTAGGGAACCCCACCGGGATTGTGGTCTCCCATATCGGACGGGGTATGGAGATCTTATGTGTTTTGGCGCCCATACCGGACGGGGTATGGGGACGGCCCGTTTCACCCTCATACCGGACGGGGCGTTGAGGTTTATGGTTTTGGCGCCCATACCGGACGGAGTATGGGGACGGCCCTGGAATCTGATGACGAATGTTAAAGGTTAACGGGTAGCGGGACCCCTATGGACCCCCACGGATACTAGGCTGGTAAATGAGGAAAAGATATGTTGTATAATGATTGAATTACAAAATGCGTGATAAGTGTTATGTTTTACAGTTTATATGATTCCATGATTATGATAATGTTATTGCTTTCGTATATTGTTTTATAAATTCCACCGAGGTAAGTGGATAGTAAAGGTTTTATTATTAATAAAAGGATTTGTCGTAAATCATGCTCCATTGGTCTTTTGTGTTTTTCTACCCACATTTACCTCCGTGACGGTGAGATATCGTGATGTCTTTACTGGGCTAATGTAGCTCATTCCTTATTTAATCATTTCAGATCAAGATGACATCGTTCCCGAGCCGGTTCCGCAGGAGGACGACGAAGGGGACGCCTAAGGACTCCATAGTCACATTCGTAGTTTTTACTTTCAAGTTTCCCCTTTAGGTAGTTTAATCTTTTATATTTTGTGAGCACGTTTTTGGTTTTCGTGTAAGGGATGTTATTCAAATTTTGACTTCGCTTCCGCATTTGTTATTTATAATATAAATTCAATTACGAATTTCCGGGGCTGCTACAATGTTCACAACAAATTTAGTGATAATAATATCTATGATTTTTATCTGTACATTTTGCATTTAGTTTAGCAAGAAAAATGGGTCATTTTTTTTTTTTTTTTTAAAAATTTGAGTGTGTACAAAATTTCATATAAAATTGAAGTAATATATTAAAACACATATTAAATTGATGAAATTTAGAATTATTCATAAAGGAAATTAATTAATTTCATCAGCGCACGTGAGAGTTGGCAGGTTAAAATCAAATAATTGCATTAATAAATTCGAAATAAAATTAGGGGAAATTAAGTTCATAAAACGACCCTTTTCCTCTTTCCTTTTAACAATATGTACACTTTTTATTTTTTATTTTTTGAATATTTGTTCCTGTATGATTTTGAGTCGGGTGAGTTATATAATGAAATGTAACTGTCATACATTGTCACGTATAATTAATAACTAACTAAATTAAATTACCCAACATTTGAAAACTGACCAAGATTCTGGATTCTTACAATTTTAAAGTACAAAAATTTTGAATGCTTTTTCTTTTTAAATTCATAATCCTAAAAATTGACATGGAAGATCCCATCAATTTTGATGATTTAATGAAACCCATTTATTATTTTTAATTTATATTATTTTAATAATTGTTTACTTATACATTTGAACTTGGGGATCTGAGATACTATTATGTTATAAGATTTACGTATGTATATACAATGACCCAATTCCCAACCGTGGAAGGAAACAAATTATTTTTCTAACTAAAATAAATCACTGAGAATAATATTTTTAAAAAATCCTTAAGCAATAACAACGCTCCAAATGTTATTCTCTCCTTGTTCCTTAAACAAAATAATTGTTAGGCTCCTTCGATCACAGCTAAGAAACCCAACAACGTGTAATACTGCCTAATCAAGCGGGGCCCAGCAAAATTATGCCCTTGATTGATTGAACAACAAACTCGTACGTAATAGAGTGCGTCCGATGCATGAAATTACAATAAAAGTCAAACAAATTAATGTGAATTGGTTGTACTTATTTCACACCATGTGTTATTCTCATCCCTACACGTGGACTGACAAATACACCGAGAGATCTCCTAGCCGTCAGATGACACATGGCCCACGAGAATGGAGCGGGTGGTAGTGGGTAGTTTCGGGAGATAGACGGTGACTCACCTGACAACGACGGCGTTTCAATTACGCACATAAGCTCGGCTCCGCTGGAATATCAGCCAGCCGAGTGTTTCCCCGAGATTAAGCCGTCATATGAAATACAGCTCAGAGCCTTCATAAGGAAATTAGAAAAAATAAAAAAAACAAAAAAGTCCGTGGCTCTTGAGCTGGGTCCCACTCCGTTTTTTTGATAGGGGACGAAGTGGGTCCCGACGAGGGAGAAAACCGCGGCACGTGGTCGACGTGTAGTCGATGATGGTGCGTCCAATTCGCGGACACCGGGGTTTGGGAGAAAGAAATCAGAGCCGTCCGTTTAAGATACCCATGATACTATTTAATACCCTAGAGCACTATAGTATTATTGTTTTTTTTGTTGTTTTTGTTTTTTTTGTTTTATGTTTTCGGGAAAACCTGCGTGGGTCCCGATTTGAAAGTGGGGTCCACCTGGATAGTGGCAATGGTGGTGGTGATACAGTGCAGTTGCATGTGACGCCGTGGTTAACGACAGCTATGATAAACTCCCTTCTTAACAAAGTTTGGTGCTTAGCGCAACTGCTCTCCCCAGTTAGACTGCTAGCTTTCCTTTATGTCCGCGGGAAATGATTGCGTCACGCAACGGTGAGGCCAGGGTTGTGTACAGTAATATTATCTGGGATTTGATTGGACGTGGTACTGTGGCACACGTGAAGATATATTTGTATACTTATCCAATTTGTCTGGTTTGCAATTTAAATTTTTTTGAGCGAGATGACTTGTTTGATATGTCTATTTTTATGTCAATGTTTCTTAAAAAATTATATAATTTAATTTAGGTACATATATTAATGTACTATAAAACTTTTTTACATATTTTAACATATAAATAATTATGAGTAGGACAATTCAATTTTTTTAATATAATTTTTTTATTTATGAAATAGTTTGATTATAAGAACAAAAGGGAACTAAAGTTATAAGAAAATTATTTATCAATTATTGTGTTTTAATTTTTAATTTAAGAAAAGGTAAATAAATAATATTTATAGGCGTCAAATAAGAAAGAAGGTCTTGTATTAGAAGTTGGACAACAAGTTGGTAAAAGTTATCCAGCAGAGACAATATTTGTCTTTTCCAAGTGTTTTTTATTTTTATTTTTTAAATATTTAATATCACCTATTTGTCAATTGAGTTTTTTATTATTAATTTCACGACTTATTTTTTTTTTCTTCTAGATCTTTTGTTGATGAAATATGAAAATCTACTATTAAATTTGAATATATTAAAAATTTTATTATGATATAATCAATACAACTTTTATATAATTTCTTTGACGAATGATATTTAAATACAGTATTTATAATAATTAAAATTTAATCGTGTATATATACGAAGATCCTAAGCAATATCTTGACATTCGTACTCATACCTTATTTATTGAATTTTTTTGTTAATAATTTGAATAGTATTTATATAACGTGTTATGTTATTTATGTTTGTGTTTGGACACATAAATCTTATATTTATTTAATCTAAAATTTTGTTGTCAAAATATTCAATTATTTAACTTGAATTATATCAAATTGTAGACTTTAATCTTATATAATTTGTCTCACATTTATTTAATAAATAATAATTTATTATTTTATTTTTAAGTAAATGATAATTTTACATATAGAGCATGTGTTTATTGTTTTATAAATTTAAACTATTTATACAATTATGATATATTAAAGAATATAACTTTTTTACAATAAAGTACACAAAAAGTTTTGCACGTGTCAAAAATACAAATTGATTATTTAACGGGGAGAAAATCATAAATAAAACAAGCGGTGTGGAGCATATGCATGCAATTAATTCAAACAATTTGAAAATAACTAATTCAATAATATTTCTTAAAATCAAGTGTTAAAAAAAAAATGAACCTTTACTAATTCAATCTAGGTATAGTATATATACATGCATTTGTAAGCTTTATATATGCATGCAAAGGGAGATGTACATAGTCACATGTCTATCTATAATATATTTATATATATATGGTTGGAACTTTATAGAAATTAATTTATTTTCAATATTATGTCAAATAGGGTGTCATGGGAAAAATGATTATTTCAAATTTGTGTTGCTAAGATCCGAGGTCAAATTTTGTTTAATTAGTCTTTAAATTTTCAAAATTTATTTAATTGGTGTTTAAATTGGGAAAAAAGTATTTGTTATTTTAATAATAAAATGAAGTACGAATAATACCATTTATACTATGATATTTTCCAACTATGTATTATTATACATATGTTTGACCAATTTTTTTTGGGTACGAATGTTTTGATCAAATTAAGTTTAGGAAAGTATGGAATAAAATTATTTGGAGAGATTAATATAATATCTTGTGATTCAATACTAAGTCAAATTCATTATATTATAAACTTAAAAGAACTAAAAGATAATTAAACATCGTTAGAAAGTTAATTAATTAATTAATTTTACAAAAAAATTGAATTACGAAATAGTGAGTTATAAAATTAAACATTACAAGATTTAAAATCAAAGCATCTCAAACCATAAGTAGTAAATTGTGATTAGCCTCTTAAGCATTCAAAAGAATAATGCCGAGCCCACTATTTCGTAATTAAGGACGGTTCGATGGGCCTAGATTCCATTATCGGGCTCTTCCAGAAACTGAAATAAAAACTAAAATTATATTTACCTAGTTATTAATATATTTATATCTTATATTTTTTATTTATTAAATTTAAATATATTTTTCAAACGTTTAATTTTATTAATTATTCCTAAATTCTATTACGAAAAAGTTTAAACTTCTTTTAAATTAATAATAATAAATGAAAAATTAAACATATAATAATATTATAATTATAGTGAGAATTGTAGTATAAGTGTATGTTTTACATTTAAAAATTTTATTAGAAATTAAAACTTCTTTAAAGTTTTTAGGGTATGATATAAATGAATAGAGTAAAAAAATTATGTGTAAAAAAAAATTTAAAAAACAAGAATTGTAGTATAAGTGTATGTTTTACATTTAAAAATTTTATTAGAAATTAAAACTTCTTTAAAGTTTTTAGGGTATGATATAAATGAATAGAATAAAAAAATTATGTGTAAAAAAAAATTTAAAAAACAAGAAAATTAAGTGATAACTAATAATTTCACATATTTTACACATAATTAAAAATTTTAATATATAATATTAAATGATATATAACCGATAAATTTAAAATAAATTTTAAAATTATTAAATCGGTAATATTAATAGATTATTATTATTTTTTATACATTTATATAATAAAATTAATTATATTTTTATTTTTATAAATTATTATTTATTTAAATATGAATATAAATATATTAATTAATAATTTTTTATATATTATTTATTATTATATATAATAATTTAAAATAAATTAATGATTTAATTAAAAATTCAATCATATAAACTGTTGTTCAAATAAAAATATGTTAATAAATAATATATATTAATTAACCAACTAAAATTTAGTCTTGACGACAGAAGTCAAAATGATGAAGAGAAAACTCCCAACTTCAATCAAACTCGGCAAAGGAAATGCTTGAATCAAATGATCAGAGAAAGTTTTCACCTTCTTCTGAATCAATCAGTCGCTGCATAGTCTCTTGCACCTTTGTATTGCTCACTCAATCTGCACTCTCTCTTGTTCCTCTCTTCTTCTCCGCCTCTCCTATTCTTCTCCAGCTGTCACTATCAGGTTCTCGCGGCTGGCCACCCTCGCCGTCTCTATTGCATAATTGATTGATTTTTTTGCTCTGAAACGGATCTTGTTTTGCAGCTCTGCTACAAGTTCTGGCCGTGGGGTTCGGGAGAGTTTGCAGGCGGGTCACTGGACTCCGTGCCTCCGCTCCTGCTTTCGTCTTCTTCAACATCCTCTTCGTTTGGGGTGTTTACATTGCTGTTGTTCGAAAAGGTGCTTATATATAGATTTTGTTGATAACTTATATATAATTGTTGAAGGAACGGTTTGGTGACTTTGACGATATGGTGTTTTCTGCAAATGTAGTTGTTGGAAGGACTGAACGTTTTTGGAGAATAAACGAGAACTAGTTTTTAGGGTTTCATAACATCTTCAGGAGATTTGTATATTTTAAGATTCATTATTGATTAGACGGCGGATGGTGTTGACAAATTCTGCAGTTTATGGTATACTGTTGTAAGGATCAACTAATCATAATTCTGATCATAGTCTAGCAGGTTAAGCTCCTTTGGTTGACACTCGCTGTTTAATTCTTGTATTAGCATTCTTAGACTAAGATGCGAAATGTAGCGTGCAAAAGTTTAAGATCACTGTGCGAAGTTAAGAACTGAGTATACTTTAGCATATCACACGAATGTAAAAATATCAACGTGAATTTTTTGTCTATGTTAAAGCAATTAGCTAGTCTTAATTAATCTTTGGCTTTCCTGGAAGCTTGAGAGCTATAATCGCTTCTTTTGCTGTTTTGCAGCCGTCTCACGCTTAGCAGATATTATCTTTAATGGGGAAATTATCATGATCGTTACTGGATTATGCAGGTTTTTCTCCCTGCTATCTCCTAATCTTCATGTTGGCTTATCATGGTTTTAACTTCTTAGTTGGCTGCATAAATGAAAGTGGCAATACTTACAAAAATGGTTTGATACAGTATCTTATCAAGTGATCCGGGTTTTGTGGCTTATAGTTCTACTGGTTCAGATGAACTAACTGAAAGTTCAGGTTTCAAAGTTCAGTTTAATGATGAGGTTGTCACTTGTTTCTTTCATGTTTTTTCCCCTCATAATGAGCCTAGCTAGTTTTAGCCTTGATTATTTCCAGATATGCTTCTGTGGTCTTATTTTTTTTAAAATCCATTTGAAATATGTTAATTCTACTTGGATGAGTTTCATGATTATTAGATTCTGCAATCACTTCCACTGTTCCACCTCTTTTCCGCTTCGTGTATTTTTAGTGGGCTTTATGCTATATCGTTTGTTTGTTTGGTAATTGGTCTTCTGTATGCTTTCCTTTCAGAATTCTCTTTCACAAAGGAGAGTAAGATATTGTAAGAACTGTAAAGCATATATAAAGGGCTTTGACCATCATTGCCCGGCTTTTGGAAACTGCATAGGTATTATCAATTAATATTAATTGGGTGGTCATTCGCTGCAGTTTAGCCTTGTCATATGTCTAATGATGTTTGACGAATTATTTTGCAGGCCAAAATAATTATGCTTTATTCATGGTTCTCATAGTTGGATTCATCATTGCTGAAGCTTCTTATCTGGTTTTCTCATCTCAGTGTAAGCTTAGGCTCGGCCTACTAAGTATTATTGAATCACGGTAGGACTTCATATTTCAATCTGTGAAGAAAAACGTTAAGATGAAGTGTCCTTTATAACCTATACATCCGGGGAATTGTGAAAAACCTTGTCAAAAGAAGAAATAGAACTCTTCTCTGATGTTCAGTTATTATATTAATTGCCATATCATGTTATCCCACTTTAATTTAATTATGTCTGTCTTTGTTTGGACTGAATAGTGGTGTCAGCCTCAGTTGCCAACACTTGCTTAGTCTTGCATACATGTTGAGCATCTGCAGATTGAACTTAGTTGCAACTGAATGCACTTTCTTTGAGGGATCCTTTTCATATTTTCTGATTGTTTATTTGATGTGTTTTTGAGATGTTTCCAGTTTCCTGTATTTTAGAAGTTTCTTTTCTTTTTTAATATATATTTATTTGAGTACTTTTTCTATGCCTTTCAGTTGTTAGAAAATCTGGATTTGTAGGCAGAAATATGCCAAAGGTATGTATTTACCCTCTAGGGGTAGCCTACAGTACGGGGTTATTACTTTTTCTAAATTACTTGTCAGCATCAAATAATCACCACCTCTTCAATTCTCTGCCTTTCTTTTGTTCTTGCTGTAGAATAACCCGCCTCAAGTTCTGGCAGTGAGCACAATGCTATTCTCCCTTCTTCAAGTGCTATGGCAGGTTCATATCATCTTGCTTACATAATTCTTGCTCTTTCTCCAAAGATGTATGTGGGAGCAAATGAAAAATGCTACAAAAAATGATTGGTTATATCGTTTATTCATGTAGGTGGGATTTCTCATGTGGCATGTATATTGTGTGTGCTTCAACATCAGAACAGATGAATGGGTAAGTCCGCAATGAGAAGAAAAAGGCTACAAGATATGCATGAAGTTAAACAAATGTGGTGTTTTCAGTAATTGTAATATCCGAATCTCTGTTTAAACTAACCCCCTTACCAACTAATCTGCAGTCATTAAAAAAAAAAGCCAAATTTTCTGAAATATGTTCGATTGCAGTGTTGTAATTCTAAATGATGTAATTTCAGATAAACTGGAAGAAGTATCCAGAGTTCCAGATGATAACTCAGTCTCAATCAGGTAAAAATATTTCCTTAGCATCTTAAATATTTCGAAGGAAAATTACACTTTTAATCTCTATGGTTTGACTTTATACAATTCAATTTTGTATTTTTTTTCTGTAATTGTTTAGTACTTTGTGGTTTGACTTTTTGTCATTTTACATAAAATAATTAGTTTTTTTGGCTACTATCTTATAATTTTTTAGTTTCTCTTATTTTGATTTGGTTAAATTTGAACTCCCATGTTTTGCCATTTTGATGCCTGTGGACTTGAATAAGGAAAATTAAATAGGAGGATTTGAATTATAACAAATCCAAAATGCAGAGGTAAAGCTGTATTTTGTAATTAGGCGACTGCACTTACCTGGCATTAATTTTAATTGAATGTTTTTCTCTTAGCAGGAGAGAGCTTTACTACCGTACAGTTCAGAAACCCATATGATAAGGGAATTCTACAAAATTTGAAGGAGTTTTATAGGATCCATATCTTCAAGGTAGCCGTGCAAGAGATGGAGATTTGGAGAAGCCAGAATTTGGAACTTGAACTCAAGGGTATTACTAAGCCCGTGTAAGAGCTTCTTATCCACGTAGAAAATGGGATACGGAATCATTCCCTTTTGAGGTGATGTGTCAAATTGAAATAGCATACTGAATTAATCTCTTCTTAACGAAGCTGATGAGTTCTATATATCTACTGGCAATCAGGGAATGGTTGATAGATTGAAATTGCTAATGCTTGTACTTTTTTTTTGGGGGTGGGGGCAAAGCACAGTTTACTCCCTCTTCTGATCTTTATTACAGTTTGAAGTTTGTGTTTTTATGTTTTTTTGTGATGGTTCAGAATTCTATGGTCCTAATTTTATGTAAAACTATTAATTTTTTAGGCAATAACTGCATTTGTATAGATTCCTAGAAACAAAGATTGAAATTCAAGGCTACAAAACCAAAATTAGTGAAAAAAAATGATAAGATTGACTTGAGAAACTAATAATTTTAGAGTTCAAAAAGAATTACTGAATTATGACAGAAAAATCAAAGAGGTTTGAGACATAATAAGACCAAATCACAGAAGATGAAATTGTTGTGATTTTCCTTTTTTTTTTTTTTTATTAATTATCATTGAATTTGTGATTGCAATAAACTTTATTGGCTCTAGTATTTGGTTAACAATTTGTTCTGTGAAGCCCTTGAGGTCTGAAGAATCTGAGTCTGGACTTGAAATGATAAAAAGCAGTCTGGTTTAGCTCTCTAGTAGAATCTGCATTTGAAGATAGAGAATAAACAAAGTGTTTCTTGATGATGAAACGTCTAGTCTGAAGTTCTGCAAGTTAATTTTAGGAAGTCTGCAAATCTTTTCCAGAAATTATCTTCGCAAATGAACTTCAGAGATAACACACACACACACACACACACTCTTAATTGTTAATATGTATACATATATATTCAAGAAAACATGTATTCAAAGTCTTTTAAGCTTCATTGAAGGGAAAGCAGAATACAAGACTTCCATTTTCACACACATCAAACACACAACATAACTCTCATAAAGTTTTGTTTTATTCAAATTCAGACTCATGCCACGGCAGTACTACTCTGGGAATCCCATTATCAGCTTTACCCAGATATCTCAATGGCCTTAACTTCAGGTTTCTTCACCTCCTCCTTAGGAACAGTCACGGTAAGCACTCCATTCTCCATACTCGCTTTCACCTGATCAACCTTTGCGTTCTCTGGCAACCTGAACCTCCTCAGGAATGTGCCTTTGTTCCTCTCAATCCGATGCCATTTGTCATTCTTCTCCTCCTTCTCCTTGCTCCTCTCACCACTGATCTGCAGAATCCGACCTTCTTCAACCTCCACTTTCACTTCTTCCTTCTTTAGTCCGGGAAGATCAGCTTTGAAGACGTGAGCTTCTGGAGTCTCCTTCCAGTCAATCCTAACATTGGCAAATGCAGAGGTTTCCCGGGCTGATGCAGGCACATTGGCTAGTGCGGAGGTGAAAAAACTATCGAAAGGATCCCAGGCTTCTAATGACAATGGATCGAACAAATTGGTTCTCTGGCCAAAGAAGCTCGGAATAAGAGACATGTTTCAAGAATTGAATGCAGAGGCTTGCAAGCTGTTTTAGGAATTCTTGAACAATGTGGTTTTCGTTATGGACTGGATGATGAAGTTGAGTGATGTTTAACCTCTATATATAGCAATGGAAGGATGGTTCTGGTTGCTTAGTTGTAACTTGTAAATAGAGAAAGTGAATGATTGTGAAGGAATAAAGAGTCAGCAAGAGAAAAAAAAAGTGAATTCTGGGAGTTTCATGACCATTCTCTTATCCTGTCGTACTGATTTTAATAATATATATATATATAACACAATAATGAAGGATTTTACTCTTCTGAAAGCTTCTTCTGCCATTCGTTGAATTACTTTAGTTAAATTGTAATTTCTTCACTGACAATTGCTTTTTATTTTTATTTTTATTTTTTAGTTTAATTCTGTAACACCTTTATTTGTACTCTTAATACTAAAGTACTTATCATTTTAATTTGCTTTCAATTTGGTAAGTTTTGGATTAACACCAACAAAAAATTACGTGACAGCTGCCTAATTATTGCTCGTTTAACATTAATTTCAACCCACCCGATAACCCGGCCAAAAAGTCCAACCCACTTCGAGCCCACATGAATATATATATATATATATATATGAGAATATATAAGAAAACAATGTTTTAAAAGGCTTCTAAAGCCCCAATTGGGCTTATAAATACACCCACCCCTTAAATGTAAGAGGTTGATTTAACATTAGATTAATTTAATAAGAGGGTGTTTGAATTTTTTTATTTATTGTTAATAAATATTTTTTAAGGACTATGCTCTAATTTTTGTATTTGGTAAAGTTTATAGGTTCTTAAAATAAATACTATATCTTAATTTTTTAGTTTTTTTTTTATTTTATTTTTGTCTCTAACACATTTATTTATTTCTCTCTTGATATATTCTTAAAATTAACAATGTATACAATACTTGTAATAGATTAAAAAAAAAAAAGTGCTTTTTCCTTTTGTACTTGACTTTTTATTTAAATAAAAAATGAACACACCCTTTCTACATAAGTATTTTTTAAAGTATAAATAATATATTACGTCTTCATCGTTAGGTATGAAATTAAAGTTCTCATTACAAACTATAATTAAATTCTCTTAACAATTATAAATGTTTAGTAAATTTTGGTTTTTTTTATCTTTTAATTCGAAATGCTTAACTTTTATTAATTAACTATGATTTTAAGTAATAGATTCGCGGTAAAATTTTTATGTTTATGATGGATTTGAAATGATATTTTCGTGTGCGGTCGCAGAATTATCTTATACTATGCCCTTAAAAAAAGACGGGACGTTACAAAATCTCTATAAGTATATACTAAATCAGTGAAAGTGTGCGTGCGCGTGTGTGTGTATACATATCTATGTGCTTAATTGGGGTAGAATCTAAAGTTTTGGAACTTATACCATAAGCCTACAAGTTACAACAACTTTTGCTTTTCAATTTGTGCTACTTGTTTATAAACCTAATTTCCATCGATTTTCTATTGGTTACATACACACACATATATATATATGTATGAATGTGTGTGTATGTGTATATCTAATGCGCACAAAGAAGATATTTTAGTTTAGAAACGTAATTACTAACTGTTGATCCCACACTCTTCATGAGTTTTCTTCTTGTAATGGGAAATTAAAACTGTTGCTTGAAGAAACTACTTGATCATCCATACTTTTTCTCTCTGAGAAAACTCATCCACCTTCGAATTTCTTTTCTGGTTATTAAATCATAAGGACTAAGGAGTTAAAATTCTAATTTATATTAATTACAACATCATATAGTTTATTAAGTGGACCCTGCATAATACGTAGCTAATTTCACAATTCGAAAGGTCAAATGGATCGTTCCAAAAAAAAAAAAAAAAGTCAACTACATTAATGGAGGTTTATGATTAGATTGATTAGTTCTAACAAACACGAACTTATTTTTGCTTTTTGAAATGGGAAAATAAAAATCACTTTCAGAAGTTTGTTCAATTGCAAATATCATATTTTCTTTATTTGTTTTGGTGTATAATTTTCAATTATTGCAATTTATATATATATATATATAATTTTTTTTAAAAAAAAAATTAAATGGGATATTTAGATAAAATCTTAGATATATCATATATAATCAATCTTTGATGATATGGTTGTTATACGATATAATAAGATGTCTAAATGTAATTTATTTTAATAGATAAATTAATTAAATTATTAAATTAAAAAAATAAAAATCAATTATTTATTTACAACAATTGAAAGGTGAGAAATCAATTTTTTTTTAAAGAAAAAAAAAAACTGAAACATCAATCACCCTTTTTATAATGAAGCCTTCCGGAACCTGTAAGTGATTAATTTAATTTCTTTAAATTAATTAATTTAATTAGTTTTTAATTGCTTTACGTATGTCTAAGTATGCATAAATAGAAAGATTTATTATTTGTCCATCTTTCCCGATAAGATATGATCAACTACTCTTCGTTATTAAATTAATTAACAATTATATTTTGAAGTGCATGATCCTATGAATAGAACAAGTGCAATACTTGGTCATGGGTGTGTATATACACCCACATATATATAAACCATAGTAATTAATTAGGTTGTTCATAGCTTCCTCTCAAAATCGAATTACAATTTCACAAAACTTTGTGTTAGTGTATGAATTGTTTTGTCCTTTTATATTGATTATAGTTAAAGACAAATTTTTATTAGAGGTTAGTATTCTTAATGATTTTAACTATATCTCGAAAAAAAAAAAAAATTATAACGAAATAATAAAATATACATTAAGGTCATTTTATAAATAATGGTTAAGCATTTGTCACGTAACCTTTTAAAGGTTTTAAATTGTGAAGTAATAAAAAATAATAATATAAAGAATTAATATGTTCGAAAAAAGTACAAAAATTTTAGTTTATATGATTTAAGAAAAACTCAATTGTAAGAGTATAAGAAAACTTAAACATATTTATCGCTCAATTGTTATTTTTAGACATTAATAGTGGATTTAACGATCACTTATGTATAATGTAATTTATTACGTGCATATTTTATCTTATAACTTAATTGGACTCGATATAAATTTTTAGTTATATTGTCAATTAATACTATAGTATATTAATAGATAGATAGATTTTATGATAACATATGTGTTTTTTATAAATAAATTTAATATTTTTTATTTGGTACAAAAAAAATAAGATAAAAGTAATGAGTTTAATATAAAAAATATAAGAATTAAAATATAATACTAAAATTTCAACACAACTTTTGGTCATAAGACTTAGACTAAATATTGTAGTCAGTGTAGAATTTTAGAACAACATCATGTATTAAGATAATGATAGAGTTTAGAGTCAGCGACGATACTTAATATATAATTTTAAGTTCCGATATTATTAACGTTATGAGATGAGTATATGATTTTAGAATTATTACGAGAACATACAACTATTTTAAGGAATTAAGATAGTATAAGAATTTTAAAATTGCATTAAGTTTTATAAAATATTAGATGCTGAAATCACTCTAAAATTCTAAACATAAAGCATATAATATATTATGTAATTCAAATACAATATATTTTAATATGTTCTCTACTATGATTTAATGTCATTTTATCTGTTTCAATATTTATTTATCTTTAATATTATTACACCTATATACAGCTCGATACATGTGAGTTGCGCATATTTTAAATCGTTTATTACGTTTTCTATGGACTTATGATACTCAATTTCATATAATGTTATTCCCACATAAAGTGCATCCCACATTTTTTTTAATTATGTATAGAGAAATTTAATTTCATAAAAAACTTGTACAATAAACATTATGTTTTTTAGTGAAACATTTTTACCCAAATTATATCAAGAGAAGGGATGTCAAAATATAAATTAATTTAAATGTATGATTTATTTGGACTTTTTTAAAAGATGTGTATACAAATTTTTTTATTAAGGTACTGCCATATAAAACATGCCTAATAGATATATAACACTACTATGCATATATATATATGTATATAATTTTATAATGTATTATTACAAACAACGAGGGTAAGATATTTTCTTAAAAAATATATTTTTTGTGAATAAAAATATAGCACTTCTCTTCCTCGAGTAAATCACACGCAACAAATGTAATGTTCATTAATTAAATGGTTGCAAGTTGAATATATATATATATATATATATATACACACACACGCACACATCACCTGTTGATTTTCTCAATAGCTGCCGTTAACCAACCTAGTCAAAAATCACTACCACTAAATATATATATATATAGTTGAAGACTCGTGTTAAGTCAGGACAGACTTTTAATATATATATATATATATATATATATATCCTAAAAGACTTATTCTTTTGACACGTGGGTCAGCAAAATTGATATTTAGACTGCAAGATATTGTGAAGTAAATGAAATTAAATTCTTAGTTATCTACAATATACAAATGAAATGTTGATTAATCAAATGCATCACATGTTCAATTGAAATTTTTATTTTTATTTACTTTCTGTAAAGAAAAAAAAGAAAAAGAAAAATTCATTTTATAATATTCAAAAAATTAATCAACTTTTTATGGTTATTAATAATTAAAATCTATTGAAAAAATGAGCTCCATCTCTACCAAAACATCGTATATTATTTTATTAGTTACAGCAAAAATTAAAATTAAGATTAATATATATTAATTAGTAATTAATTATAAAAATATATGATGCTTACACTGGGTAATTATTAGATTAGACTTATAAATTATTATAAAATATTTATATATTACAGTGAGTAATTATTAATTAAAAATAATATTGTAACGATATTTTTTAAAATTAGTTTACATTTAAAGAAAAAATAGTTCAAATTTAAATTAATATATATTAAATGCTTATTGTGGATATAACTATTATACACACAATATTCCATTTCTACATTTGTGTTGCACCGTTAGTTGTTACTTTATTGACTATTGAATATAGTTTATATGTAATTATAATCGTAGGCTTGAATTCAATTCAATGGTCTAAAATGCGACTCCTTTTTTAAGCATGTACGTTTATTTGGGAAGCCAAAAGATTCCAATCTGCCAAATGGTAAATTAAATTCTTAAATGTTTGATTTTTTCAACTCTCCTGCTTTATTTGCAAATTAGCCATCATGTTTTTAATTAGTACATAAAATTATCATTCTGTGTTCGTATCATAAGTTGATTTTATAAATTAAAAAAAAAATCTTACTTATTAGATTATGAAATAAAATTATATTCAATTGGAAAGGACTGTCCAAAAAAATTTACAAATTATTATAAATTAATTATTATATTTGTTACATATGTAAAATTATATATTATTTGTTTGAATTGTCTATGGGAGCATTCAATTCTTATAAAATAAAAATATAAAATTGAAGAATATATTTGATTTTATTGTCGTGTTTGATTTTACTAATAATTTTTAAAGAATATTGGTCAGGATGTAAATAAAATATTTTAAATCGTTATATTATATTTATATAAAATTATATTATAAAATATAATGACTATTCTTTTATGAATTTTATAAATTATTATAAATATTTTTTTATCTAAACGTCATATAGAAGTTTCCAATAAATGTTAAATTTAAATAAAAAATTAAAAAAAAAAGAAGGAAAATGGAAGAAAAACTAATTATGGCTAAATATCAATCTGTGAAGGAGATTAGTCAATTTTTGTAATAAAGCTGATGGTGCGATTTACCTTCCATGACTAAACAAAGCTTTGATTTGTATTCATTACTTGCTAATCGCTAATTAGTAAATCTTAATTAATTAATTAATTATCACGAGACATCCATTAATCATGCGATCACCATAAAGATCGACAAGATCAATCTCCATTATGATAATCATTTTGGTCATGATCTTTGTTGATAATTAACCGCGTACAAGTACTATCATACATATACATACATACATACATACATAATCATATACACATACATACAACTGCATCAATGTGAATATATATATATGTATGTATTACGATGATACATGCTTCAATCCGGGGCCCCACGATTGCTAATTATTTCATGATATTACTATTATCGTGCTAAAACAATTAAAACAAATGTTAAAATATATATGACGTTATTAAATATTTATAATTAATTAAATATAATTAAGTTAATTGTAGTATATATACATATATATGTATAATTATAACAATTAGCACCGACATCTTGTCTCTTAATCGTGACTGTTTGGTTAGTAAGATGTGCCAAACTTCAATTAAAAAATGAATTTCGATTTCCCCAATCTTTCTTAATAAATAATGTACATTTTTTATATACAATATAGTATAAATAATTATAAATAGCATACAGTATATTTATTTTTTTTATTTTTTAATATCTTGAAATGATTTTGTTGTACTTATATAATTTTCACTAATTGATTTGTGCTAAAAAAAAAAAAAAGGTTATTGTGAAGCATGTGGATGAAGAACAAATTCATGTGGAAAATAAAAAAAAAATTGCAAATTCACCTAATTATTTTAAAATTCGAAAGCACTTTTGAAACCCTTTTTTTTAATTTTTTTTTATCAAAATGCATTTTATATCTTTACAAAGATATTTAATTTTTGGTAAATTATAAAAATTCCTTTAGATCTTAGTTAAAAAAAAAAGAATTATTAATATTTTGACCACACATAAAATTACCCTAAAAATATAAATTACTTTTTTTTTTTTTTTTTCTCAGAGAAACATATGAAAAATTAATTAAAAGTATACAATATTTATGCCTTAAAAATGCATTTAATATTTATATTTAATTAACTGGAATGTAAAAGGAAATTGTAATGATTTTAATTTTCTATCCAATCGCATGCGCCGTGGAGTGATCAGCGGAGGGCTACTTTCGTAATTTCATCTTCCCAATTGTCGGAAAACGACGCAGTCTTGCTCGCAGAGACACTGTCAATTTCTCGGTAAAAGATAAGGAGGCACTGACCACTGACCCCAACAAATTAAAAATAAAAAAAGAGTCAAAACTCAAAACGGGACACATGGGCAATTACGGAAAAGAATATTCCCTGCTCCACTCCTATTGGCTACTACAATTATTTAACTTCCATTTACCTCTCCGCATTGCCATTTTTACCCCTTCAACATCTAACGGCCAGGAACAATCCGAGAGTAAAATTTCTGACGGTCCAGATCTCTCCTCTGAACAATCGGAGAAATTTTTTTATGGGGGCCACAGTATAGTTCTCGGAATCTAAATAAACTTACCCGAGAAATATCTGATTGCTGCCCGGATTCGGTCACAGTAACTGCCCTTTCACTGCCACGGGCAACTGCCCGGTTCTTTATCCAGGCAGCTCCAAACTCCAATACTCGTTCTCTCTCTGGACTTTTCTTATTTTTCTTTTTAAAATCAATGATTTAAAGTTATTTAACCACTGAAAAGCGAGGGGTAGAAGAAGAGGTGCGTGCATAAATGTGAACTTCTTTTCTCATTTGAGGGGGAAAGGAGAGGCCACCACCTCTGGTGAAGGTGGCGTAGGTTAGAGGTGGAGTGCCTCGCCGGCGGCCGGTGGCGAAGTGCGCATCCTCGTAGATACATATACAGAGAGGGAGTGAGAAGCGTTCTGCGTGTGTATATAGAGGGGGGAAGATGGGGCAGGGGCTGAGTTGTGCGGCGACTCACGAGAACGGACTGTTCACTGCTGTGCAGCGTGGGGAGTTTGAAAACGTGCGGGATATGTTGGATAGAGACCCGAGTCTCTTGGACGAGACGACTATGTATGATCGTCAGTCTGTTCTTCATATTGCGGCTGCTAATGGCCAGATCGAGGTTTGTTTTCTGTTTCTTCTTAAGGAAATCTCGTGTTTTCGGCTTACTGTTAAACGGTTTTGGCTACTGGGCTTCAGTTGTCGGAATTTGATTTATGTTTTATTGGATGATCATTCGGTTCTGGATTTTTAGGTGAGGTTTTTAATTATGTTTTTGCGGGGGTAAACATTCTTCATAGATTTTCTGTCTTACGATGATGATTTGCAGATTTTGTCTATGCTCCTGGAACGATCTGTGAATCCAGATGTGTTGAATCGTCACAAGCAGGTATTACGCCGTTTTTGTCTTTGATGTTTTTTTGGAGGTGAATTATTTTTACTTGTTTGATCTTTTAGTGATTCACTTCTTTTTCGTTCTTGACTTCTGTGGTTTGTGGTTTTGATTTCTCCATTTCAATGCATTAGACTCCACTTATGTTGGCTGCAATGCATGGAAGAATCTCTTGTGTCATAAAGCTCATTGAAGCTGGAGCTAATGTACGTTCAAATTCCCGTTAATTTTGCTTCATATTTTGTTTTCTATTTGAGATTTTGATGAGAATTTTAAAAATTTTATTAGATATTGATGTTTGATTCCCTTAATGGAAGAACCTGCTTGCATTATGCTGCTTATTATGGTCATTCTGATTGCCTCCAAACCATTCTGCTTGTGGCTCAGTCTAGCCCTGTTGCTGTTTCTTGGTGAGTCTTCTCATCTCTCAATCAGAATTTAGTTTGCTTGTATGTTATTTTCTGTTCAAAGTAATTTGGTCTTTATAAAACTTGATCGTAATACGGTGCCCTGGGATTGGATTTTAGGGGATATGCACGATTTGTAAACATTAGAGATGGAAAGGGAGCGACCCCGTTACACCTAGCAGCCCGTCAAAGACGGCCTGAATGTGTACATATCTTGCTGGACAATGGCGCCCTTGTTTGTGCCTCTACTGGAGGATATGGGTAATGAATCTTCTGACATTTGTTTAATCTACTTCATTGACTCACAATTCAATTGTTTGGGATTCATGGAGACATTGGTAATTGACTATTCTGTGTTTACAGTTCTCCAGGAAGCACTCCGCTTCATTTGGCAGCTAGAGGAGGTTCTCTTGATTGCATCCGTAAATTGCTAGCCTGGGGGGCAGATCGACTTCAAAGAGATGCATCTGGGTATGATCTGATCTGGGTTCTTTTATTAGTTTCCGTACTAGGATATGTAGATTCTTTTATTAATTTCCGTACTAGGATATGCATTATATAGCCTGTGATGAGGTTTTCTGTTTCGGCTCTTGTTAAAAAAGTGGAAATAATTAATAAGCTGTTCTAGTTTATTTGACGGGAGATGAAGAAGCGCAAATTGGATTAGGATAGTGAACTTTCCCTAATTTACTGCTGTCAATTATCTTTTCTTAATAATAAGATCAGAAGTAACCTGTTTATTGTTTCATTTGAGTTTTCTCGTAAGAATTTAACATTTGTTATGTTGCCATCTCCACGCAGGAGAATACCATATGTGGTTGCTCTAAAGCACAAGCATGGAGCATGTGCGGCTTTGTTAAATCCTTCATCTGCTGAGCCTCTTGTCTGGCCATCGCCTCTGAAGTTCATAAGTGAACTTAATGAAGAGGCAAAAGCACTTTTAGAACAAGCCTTAATGGAGGCAAACAGGGAGAGGGAGAAGAATATCTTTAAGGGAACTGCTTACTTACATCCATCTCCTTCATATTCTGAGACTGGAATAGATGACAGTATTTCTGAGGTAATATGTCATCCTTCACTCAAAATATCTATATATGTTATATAGATGTATGTTAATTTTCAAAAAAGAAAATATATGTGGATCGAATATGGATTATTTATTGAACGGCCTGCTTTTTTTAATTCCTGGAAATTCTTGATTTTCCTTGTCAGGACAAGGAACATGGTTGGCTGTTCCAAAAAACTGAGTCCAATTGTCAACTTCAACTTTTAAGATTGCTGCTTTTGCTCAACTTTTTTACTCTTTTGGCTCCTAAAAGAATTTTATAATCCAAGCGGATTTGAATATTCAACTTATGATATTTTTTGAAGAGTCTTCTGTCAAGACATGGAATGTGACTCTTTCTTGATGGCTAATAGAAGAACCCTAATTACCAATTTATTATCTTATCTTTGCTTGACACACTTTCTTTCTTCGACCTGATCAGAACCACGAAACTTAAACACGATCCTACATCCTTGAATGGTAATTTCAGTTGTGCTCTAGGTATCAATACTTATGAACCAAAAATAGGAGATTGTTAATAACTCTTTCCTCTATGGGTCAAAGGGAATTTTTTTTCCAGAAAAGTTTAATCATTCCACATGCAAAGTTTTGCAACTTCTCAGATTGTTATGGACAATTTGCTGATAAATATGCTGCTGGATCATATAATGCAGGCCAGCGACACAGAGCTATGCTGCATATGCTTTGAGCAGGTATGTACAATTGAAGTTCAAGACTGTGGCCACCAGATGTGTGCACAATGCACTCTAGCCCTCTGCTGCCACAACAAGCCTAATCCAACAACATCATGTGTGAACCCTCCTGTATGCCCGTTTTGCCGGAGCACTATTGCCCGGCTGGTGGTTGCCAAAATCAAGAACTACGATGATCCTGATCATGACATTGATAATACTTCTTCAAAAGCAAGGAAGTCAAGGAAATCCCGAAACTTCAGCGAGGGAAGCAGCAGTTTCAAAGGGTTATCAGCAGTTGGTTCCTTTGGAAAGATGGGTGGCCGTGGCTCTGGGAGAATTGCTGCAGATAATGAATGGGTTGATAAGCCTTGAACCGACCTTGGTAGAATCCAGCAAATTGGTAAAACCTCCACTTCACATTTAAATGAAGAATTCTGATTTTTTTCAGCAAACTAGAAAAAGGGGAGCAAACTCATCAAGGAATCATCGTGGAGCCGCCGGACCCATTTGGTATATATATAAAATATATATCTATCTATAGATAGATTGAGGTCCATTTTGTATGTAGATTTGGTAATAAGCAAAGAAGTGAGTTGCAGGTTTTGGTTGGTAAGTTTGGTAATGGTTGCCGTGGGTCATATTGTTGTAATCTTTGTTTACTTGAGCTTGAAGAAGCATTGTTCTTCTGTTAGAAACCTGAATTGAAAAGAAATTCTTTCTTTTACTCGAGTAACCTAATCTGATTATTCTTCATTTCCCGGCTGCTATTTTTTGAAAATTATATGTATATGTACATATGTAACATGCCTGCTAGGTGTTGGTTGTCATGTGATCATGTCTCTTCTCGGGCTTTTTTGATAATTTATGAACTATGATGTCATGTGAATGTATATATATATATATATGGTAAGTTTTTATATTGTAAAATATTTACAAGAATATATTTATTACTGTTTTCTGTTATTATATATGAAAAAATCTCAGACAAGTCAGGTGGGGTTTGGATTATGTGTATGTATGGATTTGGGACCCAGAACTCATGATCTGACATGATGTGGACACGTGGAGGAAGATGGTGGGCCCGAAGGATAGAGTATAGAAAATGGAAGGACACCTAACTCGTTGAGAGTGTACTGTGTGGGGGCCCAGCTTTTGGTTGGTTTTGGCCTTGGCCTTTTGTTTTCTTATCAAGTGTGCAGTGTGTCTCTTTCCAACTCCTGATGTAAACGCGTCATTGACTTTCTTCCAATTTGATGGGTACCATTTGGCTTCCGATTCTGCCACGTGTATGCTTAGTCAGTTCTCCCTGATTTTGACGGTCCGGATTTAAGGATGAATAATGTCGTGGATTTGAATTTTATATTTATTGTTGCTATTTTTCTTTTACAAAAGATACTTTGATAAAATTATTGAAAACTTTATTGGTGAATTATGCAAGGGAAATAAATAAATAAATATATATATGTTTTTCATAAATCAATTTAAAGTTTATAATTTTATAACTAATGAGTTTTTGTCAAAAATATAGTAAACATTTTCTTATGAACTATTACTTCGTCATTTTACTTTCGTTTTTTTTACCAATTTATGCAAAATTCAATTTTAAATTTATGTTTTACACAAATACGTGTACTAATTTTATTTGCTTAAATTAACAATCTGAATTCATACAAGTCAAATTATGAGGATGGAAGATATTTTGTACTAGTAGCTCGTGTAAATCGAATTCATTAAAAAATTAATAAGTAAGAACATGCCATTTTCATGGGCTCATAGATTATTGATTAAAAAAGTAAAATTTTAAATATATATATTTATATAAATAAATATATGTATTCACATGAAATTTGGGAAGACTATGCACATCAAAAGAAGAAAAAGGAGGCGTTCACAAGTGTAGACCAACTTTTCTTAGATCATGTTCAAATTAAGAGTTAGCTTACCCATAGAAAAGCCAATAAATAAATAAATTAAGTAAATAAATATTATCAATTATTGCATGTTTTAAATTTCTAAAAGCCACCAAAGACAACAATTAATTGATATATTTCATTATTCTATATATATATATATTTAACATTAATGAATTTTGTATTTGAAATATTCTCCGACACAATTTTAGACGATCAAAATTGACAAGCGTGGTAACTTTTCATTGGGAACAAAGGGTAGACAGATTTTGGTTGCCCATTTTATAAGCATTATTTTTCTGTAGGTCAAATATATGTTATTTTTATTTAATTACTAAATAGTTATTTTAATTTATAAAATTTACCCACTGAATTGAAAGCACATGCCATGATGTCAATATGTCCATAAAGATCAAGAACGTACCTTTGAGATGTCATGGATGCTGAAACAGTAATTTTACATGTATGTATGTACCCTTTTTTTTTTTCCTTATAGAAGTCATGGCTACTTTGAATAATGAGTTAAATTATTATTGAGTAATTACTATTAAAGTTACCAAATTACCATAAAATGTCAGAAAATTACTTTGATTCGCAGTGTTTCTGAGATACCTGAGTAGGCAGCTCATTAAGAATAACAAGAACTGATCAAGGGCTAGATCGAAACGAGTTAAAGGTTCGAGAAACTCAGCACGAGTGAGACAAAATGATTCCATTTTCTCCAGAAAAGCTAACTCAAATAGAACCCAAGTTTATTATTCTCTTCCTAAAACATAGAATTCACTAGCATATATGTTCTGCAACGTTAAATTCAATGATAAAAATGTATATTCATACAAAAAGAATATGTGCTAAAACTTAATTATGAGAAGGTTGTCCACACATACATGAAAAAAGTACAGGAGCTGCATTCCCAATATTTCCCTGATAATCATCAAGTCCTCCAGTCAGTCTATTCTCCGATCCATGCCATGGACTTCCTCGAGGAGGCATAACTTGGCCATTAAGGAACAGCGAGTTTGGTTCTGAATTGGCTTGAGAGAAAGCAAATTCATCGAGTCCGTAAATATAAGGGCTTTGATTTCTTCTGTTATCGTTAGCAGCTCTTCTCTCTGCTGCAAGGAAGTGGCCGAGGGATGGCGGGCTGGTCGTGTTATCTGCGTCAGTAGTGTCTCTTGAGCATAAAGAGAAGAGCCAAGTTCTTGATTTGTTGCAACCCTTTTTATCCTTTGGTGATTCTACTTTTGTTACTCTTACTGATCTTTTGGAGAGCTCTACAATGCTTGAAACACCTATTAGGCTCCCAAGTGTAATGCTCTTGTCATGGAAGAAAGACCCCGTAGACTGAAATAATCATATATTTGAGTAAGAGATTTTGGTGAAATTAACATATGGGTCACATGCATACACATAAATATATATGCATGTATGTAAACCCAAGTTAAAAAGAAAAGAAAGATTGATACTTGTGGCTTGTGATTTTCTAATATTTACAATTAGATTTTATCTTGAAAAGTTCAACTGAAACTTTGTCTTGCATTATCAGAGAATATCACTTATAATATGTTACAACCATATTGCATTTCTTCTCCTAGAAAGTAAATCAAAGAAGAAATCATTAAAAGAGATTTTAGACTACCAAACTTGATATTCAATTATTCTCTCGAACATCATATGTTACAACCTATTATGCCATTCCGAACGGGGAAAATACTTTTTTGATTCAATCAAATAATTGACAAACACATTTTTAGAGGTGAAAAAAGGTGAACTAATGCACTTTCTCATTCCAATTGACAAGAGAGTTAGTACAGTTTCTAGCTTAAGTTTCCAATATGATCTTGTGATATTTTGATAAGATCACAAAACACCTCAGGCAAGAGTAATTGGTCCTCGTGGAATTTCAAATCCATACGTAAGTATTGGTTGACTCTAAGGTAACTTGCTATCTATTAAAACTTAGCCTGACTTGGTTTTGATTAACCATTTGAATTTTGTCAAGAAACTGGTTTTGAGATTTCTGATCTGTAAGATTTAACAGTAATGGAACTGCCAGTGAGGGTAACCCAATTCAAGACCATTTACCTAGATTCAACCGTAAATATTATATACTACTGGGAAGACCCTGATTCACTAACAGATTCTCTTGTGAATTATACCATGACTGTACCCAATCATTAAAGTTCAAGGGAATTAAAAGAAAATACAAATTAACTAGCTAAAGTATATTTTTCCCAACTCACAATGCAATAGGAAAATGAAGGGCTTTTCATATGGAAACTTTAAGGTGGCTTGGAGGTATCATGCATTTCTGTTAATTTTTATAATATTTTATAGTAATTTAGTAATTTTTAATCGTCATGCATAATATTAGATAATTACACTGAAAAATATACAGTGAATATAGAACCCTTGTTAGTGCCTTGTACGGGTACATTGAGCCAAATAAGAGGGAAAAGAATGTTCAAGCACATGGGTATAAATTGGCTACTCATTGTTAACCCAGAAAGAAAAGTAAAAATCAAGAACAATTTCCTCCAGTCAATTCCAAAATTACCCAGAATATTTGGACATGAAGAAAAACAGCTGAAGTGAAAACAATGGCAGAGCAGCAGAGGTACATGTTCATCATGTCAACACAACATGGCCTTTTTGAGTAACTGAAAATAATATTCTCACACAACCACCTAAAGATAAGACCAGTTTAAATTTAAAAAAGAACTGAAAATAGAGGTTAAAATTTTCTGGTATTGGATCATTCATCACTGACCTCTGTGTCTAAATCTGATGAAGAATCTGTAGAGGAAGTAGGGGAACCAGTGAGTAAAGTGTTGAATGATATTGATCCAGAGAAATTATTGCTCCTGCCAAACCCTAATCCTACTCTCACATTCAGAGGCTGCAACCCCAGGGGCCAACCTTCCTCCTAAAATCAAATCAATCAGCCACTGAAATATAAAAAACAAAGTACTAACACTGAACCAGAAACAAAACAATGTGACAGGTTAAAAAAGCTAAGAACCCAGAACAATTATCAGTGAGAATTATAGGAAATGGCCATAAACTCAGAACAAATGTAAAAGAACAAAGAGAGAAAAACACAATCAAATACCCAGAAGAAAAATGAGGAAGAAGACAAAGAAGGAACCTGTTGAGCCATATTAAACTTGCTCAAAGTACTTGTAGCTACTACTGGGGAACACTGTCCTCTGTCTGTATTGATTGATTCTTTCCTGGGTAAAAAAGAAAATTCCTGTTGGGTCACTTCCTCCGGTACTATATATATAATAAATGCTGAACTGAAAGAGAAGGAAGTGTCATTTCCATGGTGATTAGGGTTTTAACTGCTGCATATGGAAATTGATATGGGGAATTATGGATGACTGACAGTCCACTAATATGAGAGTGGTTAATGAGATTCGGTCGGAGGGGAGGAAGAGGGTAAAAAGAAGAGGAGAGGGTTAAAACTTAAGGAAAAAAAAAACTGAAAGGTCAAATCATGTGGAAAAATTCTTGGGATGCTTTCGTTGGGTTTGTTGACAGAAAAGGGAAAGAGCAGAATCATTGTGTTACATTTAGAGGATTGAAAAAGCCAGCGTGTCGGGAGAGGAGGGAGATCAGAGACTGTCATACAAAATTACGGTTTTACCCTTGTTAAAAATAAATTGGAGAAGAAAAATTAATTTATAACATAAATTAGTGTGTAATAAATAAATTTGAAATTTATTAAAGATAATTTTGTTTATTATAACTTAATTTAGAAATATATCCTGTAAAATGGGCCTAAAAATAATTTACTTGAGAAAAAATAAAATAAAATTAGCCGTTTAAGTAATGTAGGAATGGATCCGTGGAGAGGGCCCACACTAATTATAGAGAGACCAAATTTCTTCCCGGTCCCACTAGACCTTGATATGATGAAGTGGGACCAAGTTTTCAGGGGGCCCACATCATATGGGCTTTGAGAAACTTTTACGGAACTTGTCTTGTCATTCATTTTCAACGACAGTGACTTTTTTTTTTTTTTTTTTTATAGATAATTATTTATCTTTTCACTCTCGATTTTAAGATTATTAAAATTTTAGATATTTTGATTTTTAAATTTCTTAAAAACGTTAATGAAATCTTTACTTGTCTATTTAGGGACTGCCGTGTGATTTTAAATTATAAATATATTTTTATTCTATTATTCTGAATATGTTTTAGTTTAATTCAAAATATTTAAATTTATTTTTTATTATAGTTAGAAAAAATTGCAAACTTGAGTTTTATTTTTTTTTTGGTTTAATATTTTTTATTTAATAGGCAATAAAAATAATGCAAAATTCTACTTCGTTGACAAAAACCCAAAGTAGAGATACGGGCCTCTCAATATTTTAAATTAACCAAAATTTTAACAAACAAATATATTTCCTTTAAGCCCATATATTCTTTGATATATTAGAAAATGCCCAAAATTATATAGTGGAAATAGCCCATATCTTTTTTTATATTCCAAAATTGGCCCAAACTTATATATTACAACTAGCCCACATCTTTCTTTATCTAAATATATTATGTTGCACCGTGTATGGCACGTCCCATCAGAAACCAATTTCCTATTAAGCAGATCACGAAAATATCAAGATGGGCCAAACATGGACTTAATGTGGGCTTCTTTTCTTTTTTAGAAAAGCCCAAAAATAGAATTTTTAATTTTCACACCTTGCATCTTGCATTTTTTTGTTCTAGTTATTTTGTATTATCTCGTATTTTATTGAAATTTGAACCAAGTTTAAAATTTTGAATAACCTATATTAATTCAAGGTAAAATTAAATATGATTTATATACTCTTAGGTATACTCAGAGAGATAAAAACACTCTCTAACTAAATTTAAAAATAATTACTAACCTTAAAATCATTGGTAAATTGGGTTTTCCAAGCAGGTAAAAAAGAAAGAAAAAGAAAAAGAAAAAGAAAAAGGGTTCTAAAAAAAAAAGCATTTTGATTAAAAACACATAAAAGTTAATAATTAGTTGCATGAATTCGAAACAGATTATGACAAGATATTCCTTAATTTTGCTAAAACCAATAGTGTATCTGTCAAATCATGTTGCGTAAAGCTAATGGGATTTACCAAAAGGTGGTGTGGCAATAGCAAAAATTGCATGTAACTTTTGAGAGGGCACGGAGTGATATTAATAAACTTTCCCTGAAGTTATATATATATATATATATATATATATATGTAGACACATATATACACCCTTTAGATTTGAGAATTACTCCTGTCATAAAGGGAATATCCCCACCATTTTTGGGTTTACCAACCCTTCTGGTGGTAAAGACCATAAAAGGATGTTTGTTTCCCAAGAAAAGGAAAAAGAGAAAAAAAAAGTCAATGCCTGCATATCAATACTCATGGAAAGATATTAAGAAAGTCAATATTAATTAATTCAATCACTTTGAAGTATTGCAAATAACCAAAATATTGAAATCAACCCAAAGGTCATATATATATATAATGTATATAAAATAAAAAGAATAATTAGTATTTAAACGTCACACTTAATGGCTTTATGAAAAAATTACAGAAGAAAAAGACAAATAATTTTGAAATATTAGTTCTATACAATGATTTCTCATATGTAGTTATATATTGCACCTCATATAGAGATTTTCCTTTTTGGGTATTTATGTTAATATTTTAGATATTAGTCTAATCAAAATTAAATTGTTTAAGTGGAGTTAAGGAGTTCATAGAAAATTAATTTCACAATAAAAGAGAATTAAACCATGAATAGTGGAGGCTGGATTAAGCCCTTAAGCTCATGTATAGATTCAGATCTGGGTTAGTAATAGAATCAAACACAGGTTAATTAATTCAAAAACATAATTTATATTAAGATAAATATATATATATATATATATATATATATGTATGCATATATAGAAAAAAACAATGTGGGGGAAAAAAAGATTCAGGAGATTGTAAATTTGTACCTACAAACTTTTGGCATATTAAAACTGATCATCAAAGGGTCTGATGAGACCATGTTATCAGAAATTACAGGAAAAAAAAAAAGATATTATCAGCGAAACTGATTAATGTCTCATGGAAGTTTAATTTCCATGACCTGAAATGAAAAATGAAAATCGGACCATCACGGATCATAACTATTTTTTTCACATAATATTTTCTTGTCTAACCATCTTGATCTGTTGATCGAGGTAATCATCATCTTGACGAATCGAGAAAAGGGACTCAAATATCTCTCTAGATAAATCAATTTTTATTCTCTGTTGGCCGCAACTGGCTCTCGCCGGCATGGCCGCCGCTTTTCTCTTTGTCTTGGACTTTCTCGGGGCCGGCGGGCATTTGGGTATCAACGGAATTCTACAGTCCGAAGATGTCGGAGTCTTGAATCCATCTTCATCGTCGTCTTCAACCTTGAATTCTGGCAATTTTATTTGCAGAGAAGAAGAAGATGACGACGACGACGACGGCGGCGATGACATTAAAGACTTGGCTTCTTTTTCATCTTCCTCGTAATCTTTCTCCTTTTGGCGAAATTCTTGATTATTGTGGTCTTGTTCTTGATCAGCTCTTCCTTTAACCTTATCATCTTCGTGATCAGGATTGTCATCAACTTCTGATGGTGCAGTTTGGGTACTGCTGCACTCATGATCTAAACTGGGTCTTAGTGGGGCATTGACCCGATCTTTTTCAGAGAGGAATGTTTCGGTATTGATTCCCATTGTCAAGAATAATTCTCTCTGCATATATATCAGGAGATAGAGAGATCAGTCAGTACTACCCATATACATATGCATGTATATATGTATATATTTAGGTGTCTTTGGTGTATAATTAAATAGCAAAGAGAATAATTATCACGAACTGAATTATTTGAAGAAGATTCAGTTTCCACAACTAACAGACAAGAAAACAAGAAGAAGAAGAAGAAGAATTGCAGAGAAGATTGAAGAAGCCTGGAAGAAAAAGAATTAAAGATATATGATAAACCAGGGTAAATATATATATATATATATATAAATATAGATAGAGAACAAATGAAAACAATGATGGAAACTCACCTTGTTCTTATTCTTTTCCCCTTTCAAGTTTCTTGGATTTTAGCTGGGAAGATGTTTCTTGAGAGATCAGAAAACGATAAAGAAAAAAAAGAGAGGAAATTTACAGAAATTAATGGCTGAAAATGAAAGGCTTTGACGACAACGCACTACGGCGAAGGATCCAATGCAAGAAGATATATTGCATATCACACATACAAATATAAATCTTATAAGCCCTAATCTCTTTCTCTTTCTCTCTATCTCTTTTCTTTATATATATAAAAAAAGGTTGGTTCTTTTTCTCTGGGCTAAAAAGGACTGTTTCTTTCTCTGATACTCTTAAAAGAATGAATGAATATACTCTCTCTTTGTGTGTGCGTATATATATATATATATATATATATACACCTATATATGTAACAAAGGGAAAAGGAAAACCACGTTTAAGCAATCGCTTTTTCTCAGGTATATACGAACTTTGATGCGCCCATCCACGTGCTTCTCCACAGCTAAACCATGTCACAACATGCTGATAAATATATTATATGATACATACATTGCAGTAAATTAAACGACGCCGTCTCGATTAACTAATCATCTCACGATATTTTGAGACGAGTCTTGCATCAATATTTTTTTTTTTTTGGGTGATCTTTATTTAATTAATTAACTTGAAAAATATATGTAAAGGTTAGAGTGTTCATGGGGATTGCTTAAAATGACAGCATGCGAAAAATTGCGTGAAGATAGTAACGGGGCGTTTTAGGAAGCTACCATAGTCATTGGGTTCTACGGCATTATCATTGTCGTTTTGCCACTCTTGTCTTCCTAGTGTTTTCATCTTCATTGATATTATAATGGCTATTAATTTATTACCCTATCTTCACCGGTATATTTATTTTAATAAAAAGGTTGGTCTAATTATTTTTGTGTTAATTTATTAATTATGATATAATTAGATATGAGTGTATATATAAATATATATATTGAGCACATAAATGTGTGATTGATGGGTGATGAACACCACATAACATATAGATATAATGATGATTGTCTCTCTAGATATATATATATATATATATATATATATGGACAAAAGAATACTTACAAGATAATTAGGACATAATTTTAAAAAAAGAATGTATATATAAATATTTGAAAGAGTTTAATTTGAGTTTTATATGGTGGGTCAAATATAAATTATCTAAAACCATTCTTTAATATTTCTATAAATTTTCAAATCTCAACGAGAGTGGAATTCAATTCGAGGATTCTTATGTAATTAATAATGGTAGTAGCTGGCTAGAAATTTATTTCATTCACAACTTTTGTAAGTTCATGTTAGTAAAATTGGAATATTTGGACTTTATTTATTAATAAATAAATTCATATGATATATATTTTTTAATGAAAAATATTAAAATTGTATATGTAAAAATATTATTTTATATCCATCATAATCAAAAGTAATCTTGTACAATTTCATAAATTTTAAAATTCCAACGTGAATGGAATTCAATTCTATGGTCTCGTTTATGATGTTAATAATTTAAATTGGAGCAATTAAAATTATATATCCCACTCACGTGCCTCCATTAATAATTGGAAGAAAAGAATTCTGAGGAACAAATTTAAATAAGATTACTTATATTCTATTTGGCAAATAAAAATACGATTTAATTTATATTTTCTGAATTATATGTCTTATAATTTTATTATTCATGGAACTATATTAAAGTTGTATTTTTATAAAATATCATTATTTTCTTCATTCATATGTTTTATAAATGTAAAATATAAATAAAAAATTTGCAAGAAAATACTAAAATATCTTTTAAATTTTTATAATTATATCATTACTCTCGCTATTATCATATTGATTGTTAAGTAATATATTTGATTTTATGAATGAAATATAATAACAATACATAATTTTTTTAAGAGTAAGTTACAATTTTAGTCATGATCACTGTTTAAATATTACTTGGTTTAAATGATTACATAATTTTCTATGATAATTCAATACATAAAGATAATCTCATTCATAAACAAGAGTTAAACTTCCAACTCTCTATATTTTGGCATCAAACCAACCTCAAGAACAAAACAATTGTCAAATTTTCTTAAGTGAATTATAGATTATGTAGATATTGGAGCTTATACATGATTTTCTATTGTCCTTATTTCAAACTGGGTCAGATCCTTTTTAACTCGAATTAACAGAACTTCATGGTTTTCCCAAGGGTAAATTATTCCCTGTCATGCATATTAGAATCGCCATTATGCTGTTGGCACTGTCTTTTATCATGCAGTTGACAAAGCTGGAACAGCTGATGATTGATAGAAAGCTGCTGAGCCATACAGTTGGAAAGATGAGCCTTTCCTGTAAATTCTGCAGTAGCAAGCTTCAATCGTTGAACTTCTGTAGCTAATGCTTCATTCAAAGCATCTTTGAGTTGAGCTTCTTGTTCCATGGCCTGAAGATGAAATTTCAACTCATTATTCTGACTTGTAAACCCTGCAGAATCTCCCTGCAACAATGTCAGCTGCGCAGACAAACTGGTTACTTCTGATTGCAAAGTATGTACTTTTTGCTCCAATTCTGCAACATATTGCATCTTACGCTCCTTGGAACGAGCAGCAGATTGACGGTTGGCCAGAATTCTCTTGACCCTTTTAGGGTCTGACAGTGCAATCTCGGCGAGCTTCTCGTTAGCCATAATCTTTTTGAGCTCAGATTTGGTAAACTCGCCATTTGGCAAATTCCCATCTGCTAAATTTGCAGGCGATTGCTGAGAATTCTGGGTTTTGGAAGGAGAAAGCTTCAGTGATTCTTCACCAAAAAGGAAACTACCCATGTAACTATCCATTGAAAAACTTCTATAGTGACGGGTAGGTGATGCAATATCTCCACCAGCTACTATCTTGATTCCTTCCCTCTTCTCTGGATTTCCATTGAGGCAGCTTTCAACTTCATCGTCACTGTTTTCACCTTCGTTTGTCTTTGTCTCACTCGCTCTACTGTCCAAATCCTTATCCTCAGTACCTGACGAATTCAGAAGATCGATATTGTCCAAATTCATGTATGAATTAAGCAAGTCGTTCACTACCTCTCCCCCAGATTTGCAGTCCCCCATCCCTTCTTTCTTCCGTTCAGATGCTTGTTTCACGAATTGGGTTGGCTTTTCTACCTTTGAATTCTCCTTCATGGAAACCGACTTCTCCAAAGCTCTCCGGCTCGAAATGGGTATCAACTGAGGAGAAGACTGAATAATTGCAGAAAATCCTAGAGGGGTGTCACTCTTAGGGTTCGTAGGAGGTATACCGGGTCTTTTGTTATCAGAAGTTGGAGATGGAGATAATTGACGCACAGGAAGAATCACTTGAGACGAACTGTAACTAGCCATATCCAAGTTATCCGGTTTAGGAAACAAAGATGATTGAAGCTTCTTACCAGTTTCTGTAATACCCTCCATTTTCTCTCTCTCACAAAACTAATTCCGTCAAAAATTCAACCACAGAGCTTCAGCAATGGGGCACTTCCAAATTTAGGAGATGAATCGAAAAGGAAACTAAAAAGATTCCTAAAATAGAAAATAATAGAGTTGATGAAATAAAAATCCTACATGTTCGACGGAGATTCCACCACAACTCTAATTATTAATTGTTAATTAAATTAGACTCAACAATACTCTACACCAAATAGCAATAAAACAATTAATTAAAAGACAAATCGATCACCTCGTAGCTATCTAGATTCCAAACACCAATTAAAGTTTTTAATTTTTTGGACTCTAAATTGGTTGCATGTTATCATCGGATATGTACGTGGGTAAATACATATACGTGTGTGTGTGTATATATATATATATATATATATTTCCCATGTGGGTCCCATTTTTTGCAGGCCAATTCCGTGTTGTGTGGGGGCTATACACTAAGTGGGCCCCACTGGGCCATGCAGGAGGGTTCTTAGGATTCCCGCGTTGAAAATGGGAAGTGGCAAATTCGGAGGTTGGCGGATTCGGTATGTTTTTTTCTTTTCTGTCGTTTTATTTATTTTATTTTATTTTTTTAAAAAAATTTAAGATATTCAAATATCTCAACGCAACAATAAATGAGACGATATAATTCATGTGAATATCTCGTTTTGTAAAAGTAGCGGGGCCCACTTGGATTGCTTGGATTTCACCACATCAAATGCATCATCGTAAACCATGATTAAGGCCTAGGTGGGTAGTAGCAGTTTTAACACGCGACTCTTGGTGGCTTATGCTTTCAACTTTTCAGTTGAATAATTATTTTACAAATAGGTCCCTACTTTTTATTCAATTTATATTTACGCCCCCAAACTTTTGATTATTATAACATACGAGCCAATATTTTTTATTTTAGTTTTTACGGTCATGATAATCGATTTACTAGATTTGACAAAAAAAATAATTATTATCATTTATTAATTAAGTCACTAAACTAATATAAACAGATACGTTATATTCTTTAATTTATTATTTATGTCATTCAGAGTAAAAATAAAAAAAATTTATTATTCTTATAAAAAATAAAATTAGTTGTATTAGTAAATGTGGTGCAATGAAAAATAAATATAAGGGCACGAACAATATGGACATGGTGGTACTTGCCAATACTTGAACATCCCTTGTTTTAAACATGACTTATGGTACATATATACGTGT